GTCCTTCCGGAGATCTAGGCCTTGCCGAACACAAATTTCGTGAAGCCTCTGTCCCACCTGCCGTTCACCGAAAACCACACCATGCCCTCTTCGTTCTTCTGAGTCGGGATCCACTGCTCGCCCTTCCCATACATGGCCACGGTCTTTGTGCATAGTCGAACGTCACGGTCATCTTCATGATCAGAATCATCAGCCATGTCGACGGGAGGTGTGTGCACACAAGAGCTCAACTACACATACAAGCTGTAACATGTCATGCAAGGATTCGCTCATGCACATGCAAGCACCTCAAGTGAATGCGGCTTTGCCAATGACAGCACACCACAACAGCGATCACGTATGGCATTTTTTGCACAGCTGCTGAAATGCTGCCATCCTCGCGGTGTCATGAAGATCGGTGTGTGGCCCAAGCAAGCATACATGCATGCGTGTGCCAATGCTTCCCCAAAAACCATCGTGGCATGTGCATGATGGTGCATGTGATATGCTGTGCCTCTCATGGGTCTGCCGGAGCCTTCGTGCGCATTCTCTTGTTCGGCTTCGGAGAGTCTTGATCGAGTGGCATAGGCGGAACTTCAGTCTTCTCCTTGTAAATGCAAAGGCTCTCGCCTTCAGCGACTTCACGAACATTCTTGAGCAGGGGTAGCTGGATCTCTTTCATTCGTTGGCTTCTGACGTAGCAGACTTCCATGTTGGCGAGGTCCTCCTCATGAGTGCTCTGAATCATGAAGGCTAAGTTCGCAAAGCCAGCATCGCCCTCGGCTTTCGGAAGCACGAGCATCGGAGCCGACCAGAAATGCACATCACCCACAGCTGGGAAGACTTCAAAGCAGTCGTCGGGCACCTTGGCCCCATGCTTCAACTGCAAGCTGCATGGGACCAGAGTGAGTCTCATCTTGGGAATTTTCCCAATTGCCACAATCTTCTTCTGGGGCTTCAAGTGCATGTGTAGCCGTGCAAGCATGCTGTTAGCTTCATGCTTAGCCTGCAGATCGAAGATATCAAGCATCATGGTGGCCTGCATTTGCTGCTTCTGGAAATCCGGATGCTTGCTGGGGGCATACTGCAGGACATCTGGGATCAGCACTGGTTCGGGCTTCGGTGTGAAGACTGCCCAATCACCGCCGAGAAACACGTCCAGCACGACCTTGCCCAGGTTGCCGTCGGCCTGCTTCAATTGCACTTTGCCTCCTTGGCATACTACGATCTGGCCGGACTGCCCATCGCTCTTCCTTCTGCACCATGATCCAACCTTGAAGCCTGCATCCTCGAGGAGTGTCAAGGGTTGCTTAACCGTCCCATCTGGGTTCAGCTCCCTCATCGCAACGACCTTGGGGCTGGAAGTGTCCTCGGCGACCTTCTGTTGCAGGGCATGAGCTTCCCATGGCGAGTCCACGTGCTGCCCGCAAATCCCTCGCATGATAACGACGGCATCGTGGGCCAAAGCCTCCTTCGAAGAGTACTGCTTCACGTCCACGGGCAGCTTCAAGAGGAAGCCGATCAAGTGCATGTCAGCGAAGTTGAGTGCAGTGATCAATTCCGGCGAGGCAAGCAGGTCTTTCCCCTTGGATAGCCCTTCAACGAGTTGTCGCCATTGATACATGATGAGGTCTGCGGCACGGACCTCGGTCAACATGTCCTTGTGCATCATCCTCTTAGCATCGCCTGCCTGTGCCACTTCCTTGGCATATGCGAGCTTCACCTGAGTATGTCTATTTTACAAACTAAAGAATCATGTGAACATGTTGTGTATATATACATTCGTGCAACAACATGCTATGCATGACGATCAAGTGGCAAGTGCATGTCGTGCCCTCGAGAACTGGTTGGTACCCTTGACCTCCATGCTGATCTTCTCCCAAAACTCGGCGCCCAAACTGCGGGTGCTTGGGGAGTGCCTTCTGACAAAGGCCTCCGTCTCATCCATGAGAAACGGAGTCCGCCCTCCGGCATGCTTGAGTGCGAATGTGTAAAGGTTCGGTAGAGCCTTAAAGTGCACGGTTTTCCCAGTGGTAACCTTCTTCTTGATGGAGAGGAAATCGACATGCTTCGTATGGGTCGACTCGGTCACCCAAAGCCTGTGGAGACGTCTCATCAGCTGGAGCTCGTGCTCCTGCCTCTGCATGGTCGCATTTCCTGTCCGTTGGATCATGCTCAACAGATGAGGCAGGTGCATGGCGGCTTCCTTCCTCAGGACTTTCCAATTGACCCCGTGCGTTGCCGCCCGGTAGAAAGCTTCGTCCTTCTTTCGCAAAAGCTCCAGGTTGAGTTTGCCATCATGACAGATGGATTCATCTCCATCATGCAAGATTTCCTGGCCAAGGATTCTCAACACACAGTTTGTGTGAGATCCTGCCAGACTGAGGCATTTGATGGCAGATGGGTCGAAGTGGCCCAACATTCCGTGAGCAGCCTGAAAGAAGGCGGTGTTCCAGACAATCTCCTCGCCGTCTCGAGGCTCGACCCCCACGGCATGGACCCGTTGCTCCAGGAACGGCATTCACTCCACTGCCGTCGCGGTTGAGCGGGGAAATTCCTACCATGCTGGGGTGGAGTGTGATGTTGTAGACGAAACCTCTGGACTCCAGCAAGTGCAGACAGTCGTGGACACTCTTCACAAGGCCCTCGCCTTCCTTCGCCACCTCAAGGATGGATTGGCACCGCCGGATGAGTTCTGCATCCATTGGAAACAACGGAAGCAGGAAGTTGAAAGCTGGCCAAAGAAACACAAAGTGTGAAGCTTGAGCTGCAACAATGCATGCATGGCATGTCATCATGCTGCCGACGAGCAGATGCCCTGCCGGCGCTTCAAACTCAATATGCAAAGCCAACTGCTCAGATTTCTCATGAAACTTGCACTGCTTGCATGCATGCACAGCAGCAAAGGAGCTGCTTGAAAAAACGTGCATGGACAGTCTCAATGCAGAAATATATGTGCATCTTATGTGGTAATGGAAGCCACAAGCCACATCTCATATGCTGTTTCTAAGTGTACTTACTGCACTTATAACTTGCCCTCTAAATGACTTATAAATGTACACATATAGTTGCTTTTCAGTTACTAACTGATTAGGTAAGTCTTGTAAATGTATATTAACTCCTATATTATTTTATAAGTACATCCATATACTTACTAACTGTTATAAGCACTTATCACATTTGACTGACTTATAACTTGGCTTGTCGTACTTATATATTGAGTTACACCAACATACTATTCCCAATAACATGTAGTAAATAAGTACTAACCACCACGATCCTTCAAGTAGGAGAATGAAAGTGGTAGCGGAACCCTCTGCCTGGTGTCACTCTCGGTCGTGACAGTGGCTTTGGCAGTCCTGCGTGGTATGGATTAGGGTAGGGATTAGGGCGGAATCTATGTTGCCAGTAGAGCCCCAGTGCTCCTGTGTGTTCTGGCCACTGAAAGGCTTGTGCACGCAGAGGCTTGGGGCGCCAAGGCGCCATCTGCAGTCTAATGTATCTACGGCTCAGCAACAGCCGTGCGGACCATCTCCACCCATCGCTTCCAGGCGGCGGCTCGGAGCGAGTGTCTCGCTGAGCCCACGGTGTCTGTCCAGGTGGCATTGGCCAGGCTGCGCGTGAGTGCGCCCTGTCGTCCGCCCAAAGTTCGCCGGCTGAGCTCCGGCGAATCTGCTTCCATCTGTTTTCTCCAGAGTATAGCCAGTGTGCGCTGCAAGGCTTTGATTTTTCCCACGCCGAGCTCCAAGAACTCGAGATCCACACCATTATCAGATCCAGGGTCCTCGCCATCCCACAGCCATCGTGGCTGTGCTGCAATGGTCTCCTGCCACTGCTGCAAGAAGGTGCCATGAAAGGTTCGCCTGCCCAGGTCAGCAATGGCCTGGGGCTCCATTCCTGCCAGTTCCCTTTGTCGTTGTCGTTTCGCCAGCTCCAAGAATGCTTCTTCCAGCTCTCGCTTGCATTTCTGCAATGGCGGGGTATCTGAACTGCTACTGGCAGCTTCAGCAACTTCAGCTTCACTGCTGGTGTCTGGGCCACCCTCACGCCTTCCAGGCCAAACAGCCCCAGGAGGGGGCGCTGGACCAGCTCGCAGATTAGGCAGCTGAGCAGCATCACCATCACGTGCCATGGCATAGCAGGACCCTGAAGCAAAAACCAACCCGGCAAAAGAAAGCCCGAAGAAACCAAGAACGCCCGACCCAACACAGGGAACCCCGGGCCCCCAAGCTGCGAGCCGTGGTGCTTCATCATCATGACCATCATCATCAGTATCACCACCATCATCACCATCAGCATCATCATGATGACGGTGATCATCATCATCCTCATCATCATCATCATTCAGGTGCAACATCCCAACCGCTTGAGCTCCGCAGAAATAGCCAAGCGTACTTGTTGGAGGCAAAACAGAGCATCGAGGATCTGCTCTTGCGCTGCTGCGCGCGAACTACCTACTACAGGTCCTCCCTCCTGCCCTGACGGCCATAAGGGTTTAGGGTGTGGCAGGCGAAGTCGCGCGCTCGGGTGGGAAGCACCCCGGGCCGCGCGCTCGTGTTGCTTGTAAACCCACCCCGGCCACCTAAACTATACTCTATTAAGGGTTTAAGGTTTTTTTAGTTCCCCACATCACTGTGGGGTTTTTATTTTTGCGCTGCACCGCGCCCGCCGCAACAACCTCCTCCTCACCCCACGCGCGGCACACACAACACAACACACACAACACAACACAACACACACAACACGATACACACAACACACACAACACAACACAACACAACACAACACGCACAACACAACACACACACACAACACAACACAACACACACAACACAACACAACACACACAACACAACACACACAACACAACACAACACAACACACACAACGCAACACAACACCACACCACACCACACAACACAACACAACACAACACGACACGACACGACACGACACGACACGACACGACACGACACGACACGACACGACACAACACGACACGACACAACACAACACAACACAACACAACACAACACAACACAACACACACAACATACACAACACAACACAACACACACAGCACAACACACAACAACACACACAACAACACACACGAATCCTCCGCTCCGAGGGCTCTCGGAGGCTCTTGGAGGGCTCTTGTTGGATCATGCGCGCGCTAAAGGGGTCCTGCACTTAGGAAGAGTCTCCCGCGACTGAAATCCTCTGCTCCGAGGGCTCTCGGAGGCTCTTGGAGGGCTCTTGTTGGATCATGCGCGCGCTATGGGGTCCTGCACTTAGGAAGAGTTTCCCGCGACTGAAATCCTCTCCTCCGAGAGCTCTCGGAGGCTCCTGGAGGGCTCTTGTTGGATCATGCGCGCGCTAAAGGGGTCCTGCACTTAGGAAGAGTCTCCTACGACTCAAATCCTCTCCTCCGAGGGCTCTCGGAGGCTCTTGGAGGGCTCTTGTTGGATCATGCGCGCGCTAAAGGGGTCCTGCACTTAGGAAGAGTCTCCCGCGACTCAAATCCTTTCCTCCGAGAGCTCTCGGAGGCACCTGGAGGGCTCTTGTTGGATCATGCGCGCGCTAAAGGGGTCCTGCACTTAGGAAGAGTCTCCCGCGACTCAAATCCTCTGCTCCGAGGGCTCTCGGAGGCTCTTGGAGGGTTCTTGTTGGATCATGCGCGCGCTTCAGGGGTCCTGCACTTAGGAAGAGTCTCCCGCGACTCAAATCCTCTGCTCCGAGGGCTCTCGGAGGCTCTTGGAGGGCTCTTGTTGGATCATGCGCGCGCTAAAGGGGTCCTGCACTTCGGAAGAGTTTTCCGCGACTCAAAACCTCTCCTCCGAGACCTCTCGGAGGCTCTTGGAGGGCTCTTGTTGGACCATGCGCGCGCTAAAGGGCTCCTGCACTTGGGAAGAGTTTCCCGCGACTCAAATCCTCTCCTCCGAGAGCTCTCGGAGGCTCCTGGAGGGCTCTTGTTGGATCATGCGCGCGGCGTTAAAGAGGTCCTGCACTTGGGAAGAATCTCTCGCGACTCAAATCCTCTCCTCCGAGAGCTCTCGGAGGCTCTTGGAGGGCTCTTGTTGGATCATGCGTGCGCTAAAGGGGTCCTGCACTTGGGAAGAGTCTCCCGCGACTGAAATCCTCTCCTCCGAGAGCTCTCGGAGGCTCTTGGAGGGCTCTTGTTGGATCATGCGCGCTAAAGGGGTCCTGCTCTCGGGGAGGGGAGACGGGAAGAGGGAGAGAGGGAAAGGTTGAGATGGAAAGGGAGAGAGGGAAAGGGAGACAGGGAAAGGGAGACAGGGAAATAAGGGAGAGAGGAAGAGGGGGAGGGAGAGAGATGCTCGGCTGGCTGGACGTGCTGTTGATCTACATCTGCTCCCAGTGACGGAAGCTCGGCTGCAAGAAGTGTAGGTGTGATTGTGACATGACAATGCTATGTTTTGATTCGTTGTCGTTGCTCTGTTCGGCTAGGGCAGTATCGTGTTCGTCTTTGACCCGAGCGCTGGCGGAAGCTTGGCTGCAAGATGTCCAAGCGTCGGCAGGAGCTGGGATGCTGTGTTCGGGTGTTGCGAGGCTGTCTGCAGCATTCCATTTGCTCGATTTCGTGGGCGTGTCGCAAGGAGGCCAGATAGCTTGAAGGATCGAGGCGGTCGCTTTGGTTCTAGCTTGTACTGGACTTGTTCGGACAGGTTCGCCGCCGGAGACTGGACTGGTGCGACCTCCTCTCGCCTGGTGTAGCAGCGAGTTTGATGGTGATCGAGCTAGTTAGCAGAAGGGCTTCACGGAGGTGGTAGTGTAGCGTTTTTGTTATTGTGTGCTTCCGTGGTTTGTTGTTGGGATGCAGAGGGGGGAAGGGGGGGGGGGAGGACGGTTAGGAATTGCGGCGTCGGCTCATTTGGCTTGGCAGGGAATGTCTGATGGCCAGTGGTGGCGAAGCGATCATGGTTCGCGGTGCGGTCGGGGCTGAGGCCGTGAAACGAGGCCGGAGCAGTCCGGGCGACGGCGTGGCATCGGCAATATCGGGCGTTGTAGGGACAGCAGCTTTGGCTCGGGATGATTTGGGTCGTTGGCGGCTTCATTCTGTAGTGACGGAGGTCAGCAAGGTGGTGGCGCGCTTGCGAGAGCAGGGGGATTTTCAGACGTTGGAACAGTTGGCCTGGAACGTCATGGAGAGGGTGGACGAAGCTTGGTTCACCGGCAGCGTGCCTGGAATCGAGACGGTAGGCCGTCCTCTGCAGGAGCTCTTATCCGAAGGGAGGTTTTCGTCCTTCTAGAAACCCTGGCAATAAGGCCGAAGTGCAGATTCTGGTGGAGGTAATCTGGGTTTAGGGTTTAGGGTTCGCCAGCGCAGTTTTTTGAGACTGCGCGTAAAGGCGCCCTGGTCAGCTCACGCGAAGCAAACTCACCTTTAAAGGCATCTCGCCTTAAACCCTAAACTGTAAAAAAAATTCTGGTGAAGTTTCGGTAAAGCCTTAAACGGTAATGAGTCTGCCGAGGTTTCGGTAACTTTTTGCTTTAAAG